TCAAAAGTATCAGAGAGATAGAAAAATATCGCATTTACGCTTTCTTTTATAACAAAATTAAAATAATAAAGATGGTAGATATTTTTAAATGTAAGCAAAATATCCATAAGTAAACATGCGGGCGAATTAAAATTTTAAGTAATAACTATAATTGTACATACATTTTAACCCTATCTACATAAATAAGTTTATTAATAAAGGCAAAAATGTTTCAGGTGCAAATAATTTGATTTAAAAAATTGTAAAAGTTTTTTTGGTACAATAATAATAGTTATTTTTAAAAATTCAGAAATTCTTATTTTGTATGTTTATGTAAGAATGTGACATAGGAGGAGGTAAAATAAAAATATTTTTAATTTTGATTTTAAAATATTTATTTGCTTATTTAAGCAGAAATTATTTAAAATATTCTAAATTGATTTAAATGCTCTTATAAATGTTTTTTTTTTTTTTTTTTTTATAAATATTTCAATTTTAAATACACTTAGAAATTCTGAATTGTTTTAGCTAAGTTGATTATTTAAATCCATTATGCATGTATTTTGATTTTACTAACTCAATTTGATATAGTCACTTAGAATTAATATTTTTAAAATTTTTATCTGAATACATTTTGTAAATGTATATAAGTATTCAAAATTACGTCAACAAGTATAAGCCAATATCAGTTTAATATTGATTTAGAATTAACACAGTGCAGAATGCCCATTAGGAATATATCTTTTGCAGCCTATTTATATGGGATAGAGAAATGAGTGTGCAACTTAAAAACAATAAGTATTGTTTTTAAGCTTTTATTTTTGCCCTTTTTTTCCAGCGAGGATACTACAGCAGCGTTTCTTTAAAAGGATAGCCGTTATTTTATGCATTTAAAATAAACGACATATTTTTCTGTGTTTTTTAAAGTCAATGCACAATTAACCCCGTTTTATTAATTTAAAATACTTGGCTTCGAAAATGAAGTTTTATTATTTGCAATTAACTAATATGAGGATTGAAAAGCAAAGGCAGTTAACAAAAATTTAAGTTTCGTTTAAAACACAATCATTTAAACTTAATGGACTCTAAATTCTTGGAAAATATTTGATCTGGAACTTGATAGAAATCAAAGCAAATGATAAAAAAACAAAACTTGCATAAGGAAATCTCGATTTACTTAAATTTTTAGACATAAAATTCCTCACTAAGAGAATATTTTAAGATAATAATTGTTACTAATTTTCTGAGAACTGAAAATTTTTTACCTCAACAAAATTCTATATTTTTGTCAGTTTTCTAAGTGAATGCTGTTAGAATACTACAACGTTGAATGAATGCTTCAATTTTGATCTGTAGGACATATGTTACATCTGCTTTGGGGATTGCACCCCACAGTTTGAGTTTATCTAAAAGTGGAAGTTATTGAAGTAGAATTGAATCATTTTTTGCATTAATGAATTGGAAAGAACAAAGTAAGAAAAGTATTGCCCACTTCTCGCGTAGATTCCAAGTAGTGCGTAACAACGCCTTAGATTACAAGTAATTCTCAATTCAAATAAGTTATTGTTATTTTTATTAATTTGAGAAGTTCCTATTTGAACTGTAACATCAAGTATTATTCGCCCTATAGTTTACCTTTATTCTTTATTGCTTCCATTTACAATTTCTTGTGTAACTGAATTGGCATAAAATATAAGTTTTTCAATTCCATAGGCTATCTGTTCTTTTATTTGCAGGTTCTCTTACTAAGAGCCACGTTCATTTCTTTTCAAAGAGATTTGTAAGCTAGGTAAATGCTGACGACCCACCTCCTCATTATAGCCACAGCTGTTTCGTTACTGTTTTTATTATGGGATTCTGCTATTCATGTTGCTTCTTACAGAACAAAACCCTTAATAGGATAAAAACGCTTTCTCATGTTCGTAGCGAAAATTCTCTTTCCCCTTCTTTAGATGACAGCTCGAAAATCTGGGGGATATTTTTCTGCAGTTCGTCAGACAATTCACATTCTTTTTTTTCTCTCCGTTTTCATTTTATTTATATTTCTGAAGTACGTCTCTCGAATAGCTGGGAATGTGTATAAAAAATAATGCGGATATACACAAATCTACGCAATATTTAAAATATATTAAAAAAACATTTCTCAAAAGTCACATAATGATTCTGCAGTTAAAAATTGTTTAAGCTATATATCTTTATTGCTAATTCTAAGCAATTAACTTAATTTATCAAAACGTTAGGCTATTCTTAACAAATAGTTGTTGTTTGTTGTTTCTTATCCCACTTGGCTGGCCAAGCTCACGAGTCCATACGTACTCATGATTGAAGGGGAAGGAAGCAGCTTCTGTTGTGATGGAGCACCCGTTGGTAGAAGTCAGACTTTGGCTCCGTGGCACTCTTACAGTCATAGGAGACTGGGACCTACGGCTTAAAGTGGATTCCGAACCACTACAAACATCCATGGGCACCGCCGGGATTCGAACCCGATACCTGTGGTACCGAGAGCCAGAGCGCTAGCCACTCGGCCATCAGGCCCCCTAACAAATAGTAAAAGCCGGATATGAATAAAATTATAATTGTAACAGTTTTCTCTTTAAAATGATTGAAAAAGGTTTGAATTTTATGAGATTATAATTAAATCAAAAAATAATTATATGCTACTTTATATGCTAATAATTTTTTTACATTATTAAAAGAATAGAAAATACAAAAGAGTATAAACGAAAACTGTAGTATACAATGTATAACAAAATACTTATTATTATATTTAACATTTTCTTAAATTATTTTCATGACTCCATAGTTTAGAGGTTAAAGTATTATAAAATATTTCAAAGAAAAAAATGCTTATACGTATATAAAATATATATATATATATATATATATATATATATATATATGCATATATATACAACTGGGCATTAAAATTGATATATCGAGAAAAAGAGCAGATAACAAAATGATATTTAAACAACAAATATATTATACTGGAAATAACAAGTGAATAAATTTTCAAGAAATTTAGGTGCACAGATCCTGAGAAATCAGTACCTAGAACAACCACCTCTGGCAGTTATAACAGCACTTATAAGCCTGAACATTGTGTCAAACATAGATTGGATGGGATGTACAGGTACATATGCCCATGCAGCTTCAACACGATGCTACATCTCATCAACCGCGTTGACTGCCAGACGTATGGTAACGAGCCAGTCGCTCGTCAACCATGGACCAGATGTTTTCTATTGGTGAACGATCTCCGGAAGGTGCAGGCCAGGGTAACAGCCGAAAATTTTCCGTGTCAAGGAAGGTCCGTACAAGTACCAAGACGTGTATCCAATAGCACCCCATACCATCACGTCAGGTGATGGGCCAGTATGACGATGACGAATGCACGCTGCCAATGTACATTTACCACGATGACACCAAAAACGGATGCGTTCATCTTGATGCTGCAAAAAGAACCTAGATTCATCTGAAAAAAATGGCGTATCATCATTCGTGTCCCAGATTCGTCGTTGATTACACCATTGCAGTCACCCCCGTCTGTGATGCAGCGTCAAGGGTAGGCGCAGCCATGGACTCCGAGCTGAGAGTTCATGCTGCTGCAAACGTCGTCGAACTGTTCGTGCAGACACTTGTTGTCCTGCAAACGACCCAAATTCTTGACTCAGTTCTCGTGACGTGGCTGTACGATCCATTAAGGCCATGTGGGTAACATGGCTGTCTTTTCGGTTGCAAGTGATAGGGGACTGTTGAGATCCAGGACGGCGTTCCGTATTACTGTCTTGAACCCATCAATTCCATATTCGCCTAACAGATACGATACTGAGATACGATAAACCGCAATCCCGGTACGCTACAATTCGACCTTTATCAAAGTCGGAAACGTGCTGGTACGCATTTCTGCTTCTTACACGAGGCATCGCAATAACTATTTCACCAGCAACAACGTTCAAATGCAATTTGTGTATGAGAAACCGGCTGAACAATTTCCTCATTTAAAAACATTGTAGGTGTCGCTACCAGCGCCTGCTTTGTCTGAATGCGCTGAAAAGCTAATCATTTGCATACCACAACACCTTCTTCCTGTCGTTTAAATTTTACGTCTGTAGCATGTCGCCTTCTTGGTGTAGCAACTTTAATGGCAATTTTAATAGTGTGTATATATATATATATATATATATATACACGTCAGTTGTTACATCTTTATCTCAGAACAAATTCTTCACTTTTTTAAAATTCTTTTTACTGTTCTAAATCTGGCGAACTTCGCAGTTTTGTATTTATTTGTTAATATATGAATATGTTTACCTTTAAAACACATATTATACAGTAAACATTTCTACAGAAATAGAATCGTGATAAACTAATGATTTTAAAGAATCTCCTACATTAAAAAAATAGAATTTCAAAATAAGAATAGCTATTTAGAGAAGCAAATGAGGCATGGTACCTAGAATGATAAATATAAATGAATTGGTTAAGTGCACTGCAGCGTGCATATTTTTACACGTTTCTAAAATCAACAAACGGACATTTCCAAGCAAACTGTATGCCACTGATTTATTGTGTGTATTTATTTTAAAACAACACTTTTGAATCTTATTTAAAACCCGACATAAATAAATATTATTGTTTGTAACAAGACATACATATTCAATTACTAGATTTTCAATGAAAAAAAATTTATTGATCTATCCGAACATCAAAATTAACTTATTATCGTAATTTGTTGAAATTATGATAGTGTTGTTGTTGTTTCTTATCCCACTTGGCTGGCCAAGCCCACGAGCCCATACGACTCATGATTGAAGGGGAAGGAAGCAGCTTCTGTTGTGATGGTAGAAGTCTGACTTTGGCTCCGTGACTCTCTTACAGTCATAGGAGACCGGGACCTACGGCTTAAAGGGGATTCCGAACCACTAGAAACATCCACGGCACCGCCGGGATTCGAACCCGAAACCTGTGGCACCGAGCGCTAGACACTCGGGCATTCAGGTCCCAAATGTGTGAATGCCAACGGCACGCGGTGTTCCCAGGTGGTCACCCACCCAAGTACTGATCGCGCCCAATGATGCTTGACTTCGGTGATCTAACGAGAACCGGTATATTCAGCATGGTATGGCCGTTGGCTATATATATATGATAGTGATATATTATGATAGTGAATTAAATAATCAAATGATAAATGCAAATAAGCAATAAATCGATAAAATTGTTTAAAATATATTAACCATTAATTTATAAGACTTATAATGAAACGCAATTAATATTTTCTAAACATTTATGTTTTTCTTTTACTACCATGCCCAAAATGTAAGACCACTTTTTATTTTTTTCAAAAACTCTTTATTTTTTCATCAAATTTATTTTATCTCCTGCAAAGTAATTCCATCCGGACACAAGGCATTTATGCCAACGTTTTTCCAATCCTCAATTCAACATCCCGAGATGGTCTTTTGAGTTATGGGAATAGCCAGAAGTTCCACGGTGCTAAATCAGGTGATTACGGTGGTTGTGGAACGATATGGGCTTTTTGGCGAAAACGTCACGAAGAATCGATGCAGTGTGAGCTGCCGCGTTATCGTGCTGCAAAAACCAAGAGTATCGTGATGCAAAAACCAAGTATTTCAATAAATGTGGTCTCTTTTTGCGAATAGCTTCACGCAAACGACGCATAACACTCAAATAATATTCCTTGTTGACATTTTGGCCCGGGGGAAGGAATTTATAATGCATCACAATAAGGTAATTGAAGAAAACAGTCAACATGACCTTGATTTTTGAGCGACTTTGGCGTGCTCTTTTCGGTCTTGCTTTCCCATTGTCACGATATTCGCTCGATTGATCGGTTGCTTCCGGGTCCAAATCTCATCTCCAGATATGATGCATTTCAACTTGTCCTGATAGTCAAAAAGCATTGTTTGACACACTTCAACGTGACGAGGTTTTTCCAAAAAATTCAGTGTTTTCGATACCAATCGAGATTTGACACGTCTGAGGCCCAAAACATCTTTTAAAATGGAATCGACAAATCCGTTTTGAAATTCCAATATCATCAGCAAGGTCTCTAATTATAAATCGAAGGTTTGCAAGTACCAAATTTTTAATTTTTGGACGTAAGCTTCGTCGGTTGAGGTTGATGGTCCACCAGAACGCTCTTCGTCTTCAACGTGCTCTCTGCCTTCTTTGAACTGTTTATACCACTTGTGAACATTTCTTTCCGATGTAGTTTGCTCACCGAATGCCTTCTGCAACATTCTATACGTTTCCGCAGACGAATATTCATTCCGCAAACAAAATTTAATGCAAATTCTTTGCTCAATGAATTCAGACATTTCAAAAATCGCCGAATTCACTTTTAGGGTTTAACAAAGCCAAGCGTAACTCAAGCACTAATAAATATTTTGACGTGAATTTTCACAGAGATGTAAATGATAGTGCCAGCAACCTAAAAAAGAAAAAAATTGAAATTCCATATGCCCGGAAAATTTAAATTGAAAATTGGTTTAATTTTTTGGGCACAGTATTAATGTGCCTGTTAAAATGTAGCCAAACAATTTTATATCGCTTTAACAGTATACATATATATTTAAAAATGTATAAAACTAACACACACACACGCATACACTGAAGTGACAAAAGTCATGGGATAGCAATATGCAAATTTTCAGATGGCAGTAGCATCGCGTAGAACAGGTATAAATGCGCAGTGCTTTCGAAGAGCTTTCATTTCTGTTCAAGTTATTCATGTGAAGAGGTTTTGACGTGATGATGACCGCACGACGGGAATTAACAGACTTTGAACGCGGAATGTTAGTTGGAGCTAGACGCATGGGTCATGCCATTTCGGAAATCGTTAGGGAATTCAACATTCCCGGATCCACTGTGTCAAGAGTGTGCCGAGAGTATGAAATTTCAGGCATAACATCCCACCATGGACAGCGCAGTGATCGACCGCCTGCACTTAACGACCGAGACCGGCGACGTCAGCAAAGAGTCGTAAATTCTAACAGACAAGCAACACTGCGTCAAATAACCGCAGAAATCAATGTGGGACGTACAAGAGACTTGTCTGTTAGAACTGTGCGGAGAAATTTGGCTTTCTTGGGCTATTCCAGCAGAAGACCGACTCGAGTGCCTTTACTGACAGAACGACATCGCTTGCAGCGACTCTCGTGGGCACGTGAGCATATCGGTTGGTCCCTAGATGAATGGAAAACCGCGGCCTGGTCCGATGAGTCACGATTTGAGTTGGTAAGAGCTGATGGTAGGGTTCGAGTGTGGCGCAGACCCCACGAAGCCATGGACCCAAACTGTCAGCAAGGCACTGTTCAAGCTGGTGGTGGCTCCGTAATGGTGTGGGCTGTTTTTTCATGGCATGGACTTGGTCTTCTGGTGCGACTGGACCGAACATTGACTGGAAAGGCTTATGTTCAGCTACTTGGAGATCACTTGCAGCCATTCATGGACTTCATGTACCCAAACAACGATGGGATTTTTATGGATGACCATGCGCCATGTTACCGGGCCACAACTGTTCGCGATTGGTTTGAAGAACATTCTGGACAATTCCAACGAATGATCTGGCCACCTAGATCGCCCGACATGAATCCCATCGAGCATTTATGGGACATCATCGAGAGGTCTGTTCGTGCCCAAAATCCTGCACCATCAACGCTTTCACAATTATGGATGTCTATCGAGACAGCATGGCTCAATATTCCTGCAGAAGACTTCCAGCGATTTGTTGAGTCCATGCCACGTCGAGTTGCTGCACTTCGCCGGACGAAAGGAGGGCCGACACGATATTAAGAGGTATCCCATGACTTTTGTCACTTCAGTGTATATATACATCGTAATTTAAGAAATTCAATATTTATAATAAGAATATTAAAATGATGTAAAGGCAAATTTGTTACTTCGTTATTTATTAATAAATAACGAAGTAACACATTTGCCTTTACATCATTTTAATAATCATATTTGCCTTTAATCATCATAATACACAACCTTATTCATAAGCATACATTACTACAAAAACATAAGAAATTATAAGCACGAAAAGTCTCACTCAAACTCCAGTGCACATGACCTAATATGAATGAACGTAAGACTAATTTTTATTTGCTCCATAAGAAATAGTTATTATTTTTAAAAACGAGTAGATCAGGTGTCGATTGTGATGTATTTTTCTCGTTTTGACAGCCATTTACACTATTTACTGTATTGTCCCTATTGCGCCGAGTATTGTCTTTAAAACGATTCTCCTAAAATTCTTCCCTGAAGGCATTAAATGGTAGGCATTATGTAGGTATTGTGAAACAGGTTTTTCATAATGTATTCTATGTAGTGCTGCATTTTCTACAAAATCTGACACTTGAATGAGGAATAATTCATAACAAGAGCTTGACACTGAAAAAAAAAATAAAGATAAACGAGATATCTTAAGTAATAATAAATTTGCATAATAAATAAATTTGCAATTCATAATAATAAATTTGCAAAAAGAAGTACTTCCTAATTGCAAAGTACCTAAATGTATGCCAATAGTATTTATTTATAATTTGTAGGAATTACCTAACAATTTCAACCCTAATTTATTAATAAGACATTTAATTAAACCAAATTATTTAATTCATTCTGTAAGTACTCTTGCATTATACACTTATATAAGTAGCGCATTTTCCCTGTTGAAATTCCGTAATAAATGTTGGTATAAAAAGGGTGCGATGAAGATCTACCTCCCGGTGGTAACACTTTTGAGTGGCTAAAAGATCTGCCATTATTGTTAGATGAATGAACTCTGTTTCAGCATGTTTTGTTGTATTATTTTGTTGTTGTTGTATGTTTTTTCTTCGTTGTTCTTTTTTTGCTGTAACTGTTCATAATCTGCCATTGGAAATAAAAAAAAATGTTGGTATAAAAATTGGGAAATATTAGTAATGGGAGATGATGCATTTGTATTTTCTTCTTTTATGATAACTAATCTTTAGCAATGCCTCTGAACTCTAACATTGCTTCGAAAATCCTTTCCATACCTTTTTTCCCTCCTAATATTCTCCCTCAGATCTCTTGAACATTTTGAAAAGGCTCTTCTTGATCGACTCGTCTCCACGCAAAAACGAATCGATAGCCGCTGGCAAAAGGTGGATTTAATCTTGCTTGTGACGGAATGGAGACAGTAAGGATGAAGATTCCTGATTGTTCAACTTTCGTCTCCACTGATTTTCCAGAAATATCTCTGCTGTCTGCAAGACAATGGGGATTGCTTTTAATTTAAGTTGTTTGTTAGTTAAGTGTTAAGTTGTTGTTTTAGTTTAAGGAATTTGTTCTAGTTATTATATTATGGAACAAGAATATATTTAAATCACCATTAAAAGAATAAGTATTTCAAATTTTGAATTAATTTTGATTTCTTTAAGTGCTTTTAAAATGATATCCTCCCTGTAATGATTCAATCTTTTAGAAACTGTGGGCGAAAGACCGCATTTTATATTCAGATTCATCGAATGCATGCCAAATTGTTTGGACATGGACTTAGCAAGACACAAAAACACAAAAAAGAAATTTGCTGTAATATGTTCTATACTGCTAGGACAAACATATTTTTGTTAAATTTTATTAAAGTACTTCGAAGTAAGTAGATTTATTTTGGGGGAATTTGTTCTAGTTATTATATTATTGAACAAGAATATATTTAAATCACCATTAAAAGAACAAGTATTTCAATTTATATTCAAATCAGTTTTTACTAACTGCAGTAAAAAAAAACACATAAAGAAACATTATTGCTTATTTTGAATTGTACTAGATTCTCAAAAATATCTAAATTTACAATATTTTAGGATTTCTTCTTCAGAAATTCTCATACCATTACACGGAATTGTAGTTTTTGCTTTCTATTTGAGTTATAATTTATAGTTAAGACAAATTTTGTGTAAACTCAAAAAAAAAATAATTTAGCGGTGTTTTGAAATTATCACTATACAAAAGTTTATCAAGAAGGCTTTACCACTTAACCGGTTGTAGTTTAAAAAAATTGTGCTGCGTGTTATAGAAAAGCAACTACATTCTAAGAAAGGTTTCAAAGTTTAACAAAACTTTTAATATTTTAATATTAATTTCTA